AAATGTATAGATGTGCTTTACACAATTGATCTATGTATTGTGATGAATTGTATGAGCCCCAATAAATTGATTAAATTTAAAAAAAAGACTACGGAAATGCATAAACAATTCCAACCGAGTGTGTTAGGCACAGAAATACACAGGTGTGCTGAGTGCAGACCGATGCTTGTGCTAAGGCTGTGGAATTGGTGAAGTGGGGTCCTTGTATCTCCTCTGACTCAAAGGAGAAGGAGAAGCAAGACCAACAGCCCAAGGCTGATTCCTATTGAGTGAAGATCCGCCGTACCGCCCCTCTCAAACCTTTTCACCGCAGCACTCTGCGTCTCTGCTGGATGTCCCAAGTCCTTGCAGCGGCTCCACAGAACTCAGACAATGGTCATGATCGTGAGGCTTATCGGGGAGCAGCAGGTTACGACTTGACTCGGGATCAGAAACAACTCAGAGCTCACTTCTTCATCAGGACAACCTCTTCTCAGCTGGGCCCACAGACAGGCCTCTCATTGGTGCTTGGCCTCGCCACCTGTCTTCTGTCCTGCTCAGACAAGTGTTACTCCACCAATTAGTAAAGACACTCCGCTCCACCAACCAGCCTCTCCTGCCCCAAAGGGCTCTGCTTCCTTCCTCTGTAAGCCGGGAAGCTCACCACTCTATCTCCTGCCGCTGTCCTGCTTTGCTGCCTCTGCTACCACCGTTCTCTGTCACCACTTCTCACCAGCTCGCCTCTCTTGCCCTTGCTCCTGGATCTAGCTGGATCACTGGGCAAGGATCCCAGATCTAAAGGATGCGCTCCACTCCTACCTCATCTCTCTCGGTGTTCCTGATATCCCTCACTTCTTGCCTCCTCGGGGGTGGCTCATGTTAAGCCTAACAGGACAGCAACACTGACCAGTTCCCTCAGAAGGTTTCTGTATACCTTCTTATCAGCATGGTCCCACCCTCACAAGACTGCCATCCACCTTATTTGCATTGTTAGCAAGCGATCTAATCCCCAAGAGCCCCTTGTTTGCACAGTTCCACCCAGTCATGTGGAGTTACAAGACTTTGGGTAGAAAGGCCCTATAAAAGGGATCCATTATACCACAAAGGACAAACAGAAACACTCCTAGAGGAGGGGCAGCTGGATCTGAGTCCTGAGGAGAAGGAAGTGCTCACAGCTGCTCCGGAACTGCAGGGCTTCAGGAGGTCTGGCATGTGGGAGAGGAGAGCATAGCAAGGGGAAGGGGACAAAGTTGTACAGACTGGTGCCCCGTGACAAAGGACAACAAGCGCCACGAGACAGGAAGCCCCGAGGGTCTTTAGACCTGAAAACCATGATCTAACCTATCTTCTTCTCTAAGGACAAGTCAAGGAAACAGTTGCCATCCCCGCATTTCCATTGATTGAGTTGGCTCTGACTCCTGGCGATCCTCCCCGTGTGTGTTAGAGTAGAACTGTGTTCCGCAGGCGGACGTTTCTCAAGTAGCTTGCTAGACCATTCTCCCTAGGCCCTTCTGAGTAACCTCCCAGTACCATGCTTTGGGTTAGCAGCCCAAATCATTGACCATTTGCGCCACCCGCAGATTCCAGGGGACAGTGCAGAATGTTGCAGAAACAAAAACAAGCAAATAAATCTTGGCCTTTAGCGCCTGAAAGAACTGGATTCAATGGCCTGTCATAGGACGGAGCGAATGATATAGCCTGTGTAAGCATCGGTGTCCGTATCTGTAAAACAGGGTTGCTGAATCCAAAGCAGGTTGTGCCTATAAAGCTGCTGGCTGTGAGCCTGAAACCTAGCGAACACACATGAAAACTCCTGTCTTTGAGCTCTCCAGGCTGGGGGGTGTCCTGAGTATGGAGGGTGGCTTGGTAGGAGAAAGGAGAGCAAGTGGGGGTGGGAGAGCAGGAAGGTCAAGAGACCTTGGAAGCGATCACTTGCAGCCAGGTGGGGGATAAGGCCCTGGAGAGAAGTCAGTGGCCACATGGATGAACACGGATTTGAGAATGAATCGTACAAATCCAAAGGTTCAGGTGTCTAACTGGCTATTGAGGCTAAGAAAAGAGCATTCTACATGGATCCAGATTCCCTCTAGGGCAGCTGGCTAGAGGGGTAGTCAGATTCACTGAGACAGGGAACCATGGAGTAGGGGCAGGTTGACTGAGGAGAAGATGGCCTTCAGTAGATTCATCATGCTGTCCATAGTGTGTAAACATCTAGACTTCAAGGAGAGCCAAGAGTTGGCTGTTGAGAGGCAGGGATTCAACTAGAGTTCCAGTTCATATAGGCACGGATGTACTCCAAACAAAACTTTATTTATTTTTTCACAAAACATGTTCACACTTTACACATATCTATGCAATCAGGGGAAGTTACAGACACAGTCTCTCGGCAGTTTACTTGTCATAGTCTTGTAAGGGTACCTTCAAGAATAAGATTGTGTGTGCGCGTGCGCGCCATGGTGGGGTGGGAATGGGGCGGAGAGGGCAGGGAATGGGTTTTGAGGTCAGGGCTAATATCAAATGTAAAGAGAAAAATACCAAGACTTGGAGTGGACATCTTCCCAAAATTTTTAAGCTTTGCAACCAAGCTACAGGAATGCTGCCACCCATAAAACAATGGTTTTTAGATGGCTCTAGTGTCTTAAGGCAGGCAGGAAGACTTCAAAGACGAGCCAAGACAAGAAAGACGATCAACCTCAATGAATGAAGAGACGATGGCTCAAGTCCAGACACTGTGACAGAAGACCCTAGAATGACCATTAATGGGATGGCTTATGAAGCTGACCTCCACTGTTCAGCATTTTTCATCTTAAGCAAACATCTAGATGTCAGCATGCTCTCCGCTCAATGGATGCCAAAATGGTTGTTTACAGATCAGCTAGCTCCATGAGTTGATCTTTCCAACGGTCTTTCAAGCATGATCGAAGCTAATGAAGGTGATTTTATGGAACAAATCCTAACTGGGGACGCCTCTTGGATTTACAAATACGCTCCAGAGAGCAAGGTCCAACCAAAGCAGTGGTTTCCATGTGGATCAGTTAAATGCAAGGCACAGAGCTTAATTCAGGAGGTTGTGACAACTTTTGGGGGAGGCTGCCAAAGGAGTAATAGTTGTTCAACTTCATAGTTGTGCTCAAAGGACACAGGATGATTATGGGGGATCATTATGAAAAAGTTTTTAAGAAAACTGGGAAGGTGCATTGGTGAAAAATAGGCCAAGAAAGTTGTGCCAATGATTTTTTTTTTTCTGTTACGACAATGCATTGCTCATTCTTTGAGGGTAGCAAGGAGTGTGTTATGAGACCTTTGTTGGGAAACCTTACGCTTACAGCCCTGATCTTGCCCCTTCAGACCTCAAAGAACATTTAAAATGTCAAAATTGCCATTTTGATGTGAAACAGATCAGAGTGCAGAAATCTTTGGGGAAAGGGTTATGGAAACACTGCTTTCAGGAGTATATGGATCGAGATGGAAAATATGTCAAGAAACAATACCCTCGTGTCTTGATAGTTTTATTTAATACAGGTTTCTATGATTTGGGAACCATGGTAGGGTTTATTTGTTGTTTTGGGGGGTTGGGTTTTTTTTGCTTACCCTCCCACATATATACCATGTCAGGAGCAGACTGGAGTCTGGTCCGGAAGAGGGAAGAGGCAGAGGGATGCAAGCCCCCTGCTGGAGGCCAGCTCTCCTGT